ACAGAGACATAGAGACAGAAAGCGAGAAATCACCCACCAGGGGGGATGGTCACGCCGCAATCCCTTCTCCTCCATTATCCTCCCAGGATCTTGGGCACGCACGCACACGCGCCCAGCATGAGTTCTAAGCCACTGGGTCCGGGACATGAACCGCAGTCGACGTGGGAGTCCAGCAACATAGCCATTACGCTAACTGCTGGTTCCCGTGATTTCTCGCTTTCTGTCTCTCTGTTTCTCTGGTGAGCGCACACGCCCTATAGCAAAAACCTTTAAAAAAAAAAAAATTCCAGCTCTAAGCAAAAATCTCTCTAAAAAAATAAATTCTAGCTCTATTCATCCATGCACTTGAACACTGTGACTAAGGTCCCCAAGTAAGTGCAAAAGGTGTGGCAGTTCACGACCTTTCTGCTTGAACAGTCCAGAGAAAAACGGTCCCTCTGGACAGTGACAGTCAGACTGCCGGCTTCGAGCAGGGGGCCTCACACTGAGCCAGCTGCCCCTCACCAGGATGGCACGTTTGTCCACGGCGTGGTTTCAACACAGGCCCCAATGCTTGGAGTATGTTGCTTTTTTATTTGTTTATAAATAAACAAATACTAAATTTTATTTATTCATTTGTTTTAATTTGACCAGAGAGAGAGAGAGAGAGAGAGAGAGAAAGCAAGCTGCCAGGTCCAAGACTCGAACCGCGGTAGGCCAGGTGGGAGTGCCTAGCACTTTATTTACTTTTTTTTTTTAAAGAGGTTTTTGCTATAGGGCTCATGTGCTTGTCAGACAGACAGAGACAGAGAGACAAAAAGGGAGAAATCAGCTCCCAGGGGGGATGGCCACGCCGCAATCCCTCTCCTCCATTCTCCTCTCGGGGTCTTGGGCATGCACGCACATGCACCTGGTGTGAGTTTAAGCCACCGGGTCTGGGACTTGAACCGAGGTAGATTACATGGGAGTCCAGTGACATAGCCATTACTCTAACTGCTGCTGGTCCTGGGAGTGTCTAGCACTTCAACCACCATGCCACCTGCTGGTCCCCTAAACATATATATATATATATATATTGGAGAGGTTTTTACTAGAGGGCACGTGCGCTTGCCAGAAACACAGAGACACAGAGAGATAGAGAGCAAGAATTCACCCCCTGGGGGGATGGTCACACCACCATCCCTTCTCCATTCTCCTCTCAGGATCTTGGGCACGCACGCACATGTGCCTGGCGTGCGTTTAAGCCACTGGGTCCGGGACTTGCACTGCGGCCGACTACATGGGAGTCCAGCGACATAGCCGTTATGCCCACTGCTGGTCCCTACACATATTTTTAGAAAGCCAGGTACCCGTGCACATTTAAGGGCGGGTTTCTCAGGCGGCATCTTCAGGGAGAAGTCTGGGGCACGGCAGGCCCCGTGAGGCCCTCCACAGTGAGGCACAGGGTCAGTCTGGAGGAGGGAACGTCCAGAGTGTCACCTGACTGCACAATGGCAGCCTGGCCCCGCAGTGGCCCTGTGACCGGGTGCTGAAAGTGGTGCCCACTGCCATCAGGATGCCACTCATGCCCTCTGTCGCCAGCTGGTGAGTATGGGCCACTGTGAGCCCACTGTGTGCTGGACGTCCCAGACACGTAGTCGGTGCATGGAGGGAGACACCTCGCCCACCAGGGTCGTCGGGGCCTGCCACTGGGCCCTCACAGAGAGCTTCCTGTCAATGCTCCAGCGTGTGCGTGGACGGGAGTGGGGACAGTGACGCGGGCACTCGGGAAAGCCTGACCCCTGTGTGACCTGTGCTTTCTGAGTGATGCACACTTAACGATGCGAGAAGCCCCCACTGAGGAATGGGCTCTGCCAGTGTCCCACGGCGGCGGTTCACCACTGGTTCTGGCCCATCCGAGTCCCACCAGGTCACGCACTGACCGGGCACATCTCTGCACACGGTGGCGCGACAGCGACGCTGCGCACGCTCTTTTCCGGCCGACTCCGCTGCAACCTCCTTAGCCCGGTGCTGGCAGACGGCGCAGTGGTTACATCGCTGGACTCCCACATGGCCGATCACGGTACAAGCCCTGGACCCAGTGGATTGAAACCCACACCAGGCACGTGTACATGTGTGGCCAAGATCCTGGGAGAATGAAGGGACTGCGGTGTGGCCATCTGCCTAGGGGGTGACTTCTTGCCTTCTGTCTCTGGTGAGTGCACATGCCGTATAAATCTGTCACCAAAAAAAAAAAAAAAAAATGCTGGCTTTAGGCCAACCCTGTGGTCTAGTGGTTAGGGAGCTGGTTCCACACCGTTAGCTGTGTAGCTCGGATCCTGGCTCTGGTGGCTTGAGAAACATGGCAGCAGAGTGTGGCCCAACCCTGACCGGTGGAGAGAGGAGGGGTTGCGGTGCCACCACGCCCTGCTGGGTGCTGCTCCCTCCCTCGTCCCTGTCCCTCCAGCAAGCACATGTGCCTTTGAAAACAAGTCAGTTCCAATCTTCCAACACTGATTTTTTTAAAATCACGATGCAGGGTGTGTGCTCCCCAGGAGGGAAAGTGCGATCACAGGGGTGGGGAGTGGAGGTAGAATTCGGCCACACTGCAATCCCTTCTCCACTCCGCCTCAGGGTGGTGCCTGTGTTCAAGCTGCCCACCAGTCCTCCACTGGCACCCGGGCCATGTGGGCTCCTGCCACCTCAACCGCTGGCCACAGGTTGACCCTATCCTTAAATCTCAGCCATTTCTGGGCTTTTTGCCCCCCCTCCCCTTTTATTAAAAGTTTAATTGTGTGGATCCAGGAGGGGACCAGCAGTTAGCGTAATGGCTGTCGCTGGACTCCCACGTAGTCGACCGCGGTTTGTGTCCCGGACCTGGTGGCTTAAAACTCATGCCAGGCGCGTGTGCGTGCGTGCCCAAGATCCCGAGAGGAGAATGGAGAAGGGATTGCAGCGTGACCATCCCCCCTGGGGGGTGATTTCTCGCTTTCTGTCTCTCTGTCTCTCTCTGTCTGTCTGGCGAGTGCAAGTGCTCTATAGCAAAAACCTCTCAAAAAAAAAAAAGTTTAATTGTGGGACCAGGAGATGACATAATGCTTATGCTGCTGGACTCCCGAGTAGACCACGGTTCAAATCCCGGACCGTGGCTTAAAACTCAGGCCGAAGGCGTGTTTGCGCAAGCCCAAGACCCTGGGAGGAGCATGGAGAAGAGACTGAGGTGTGGCCATCCCCGCTGGGGGGGGGTGACTCTCGCTG